AGTTCTGTCTTCCGGGCTGCACAGCCGGAGCAGGGAGAGCTCTCAAGTCGCCTCCAGGTCAGCAAACAGAAGGTGAGCCGGCCGTGGAGAGGCGAGGAGAGTGGCGCAGCTCCCCGCGTGCCGGCTGCAGGCTCTCCCGTCGACCAGGAGCGTCGGAGAAGAGCCTTGGGTTTTGTGCTCGTTCTTGTAACCCATCTCCAGGTGGCCTGCTGGTTCCCGAACTGTTGGCACAGACACCAAGACTCCCACTGACGAGTTGCGAAGAAGCCTGAGCCCTTCCCAGCCCACTTTTCTCATGGTTTCTTTATCAAATAAATAAATGTATTCCTTGTATTTAATAGCACAATCACTTCTGTTTCTGATGAATTTTGTTGGGTCTTACTTGACAAAAAGGGTTGTGAGAGCATGGAGGAGTTTGTAAAAGTACCCATTTGGTGTACACGCTGCACACTCTCTCTCCTCTTGACCCCTTGTAGTTTTCATTAACCACATTCCTGCACAAGTCATTTCTGAAAACTCATCATGTTTTTGTAGAGAGCCATCCAAAAATTGTCCCTACATTGCAATTTCCTGTGGCACTGAGAAACCATGTGTGACTGCAATAAAAAGCCATTTTGTGAAAAGATACAAAGTGATTTGTTTTTGTTTCTTTGGGGGTAATAACTATGTATGGGAATCATAAGATGTGGCATGAGCTCGCTTTACACCAAACATGGAGAAGGTGCTGCCTCTCCACAAAGCATATTTAAAGTGTGTCAACGCAAATAATAAATTCTGGGGTCAATTTCACTTCTCTTGAAAACAATGGAACGTGATGCTGTTAATGCCAGGAATTATGGCATCCTCAAACCACAGCAAAAATACCACAGCATAACCCCTCCCTGGTTCTCTGTAAGTCTTTGATATTTTTTTCCTGTCCTTTATTTGATAAACATCCCCAAGCATCAGATAGATAGCCAGCACTCAACTCTGATTCACAGTTATGTGGCTTTGGGAATGTCATTTAGTCTGTGGCTCAGTTTCCTTATATATAAAACAGGGGTAATAAAGTACCTTCCTGCCCTGGCCGGTTTGGCTCAGTGGATGGAGCGTCAACCTGCGGACTGAGGAGTCCCGGGTTCAATTCCGGTAGGGGGTATGCTGGAGACAGCTGATTGATGTTTCTCTCTCATCGATGTTTCTAGCTGTTATCTCTCTCCCTTCCTCTCTGTAAAAATCAATAAAATATATTTTTGAAAAATAAAAATAAATAAATAAATAATAAAGTACCTTCCTCATAGAATTGTAAGGATTAGATGAGGTAATACATTTAAAGCACTTAGAGCATCTAAACACTGAATGAAATTAATAGTAAATACAATAGATTCTTTCTCAAAATTGGGGGTACAAAACCACCATACAAAATGGTTGACAACCCTCCCACTGCACCAATTAGCAGTTTCTTTATCTTACAGTCCTGTGAAGCCCTAGGCTTTTTAAAAAATCCATATTATAGCTAAGAGCTAAGACCTAAATTGTTTTGTTGTTGTTGCAGTTTAGATACTTTAAAAAAAATTCTTCATGCTTTTTAAAAATATATTTTTTATTGATTTCAGAGAGGAAGGGAGATAGAAACATCAATGATGAGAGAGAATCATTGGTCGGTTGCCTCCTCTCCACCCCCTACTGGGGATTGAGGCAGCAACCGAGGCATGTGCTCTGATGGGGAATCGGGAATCAAACCGTCATCTCCTGGTTCATAGGCTGACGCTCAACCACTGAGCCACACTGGCCCAATAAGGTCCTATATGCTTTTAATGAGTTCTCTTCCATAGTCAAAACCCCTATGTCCCATTTACTAGTATCCTACAAAAGCCAAGGTACTTGTTTTATCTAAACAAATGTTTTTATAATAGTTCCTGTCCAGTAAACTTGCGGGCAGCAATTCACAAGTCCTTATCTCGGATAGCTCCCTTCTCCCTCCCTTATGTGGAGTTACTTATACAATAGTCAATTGAAGAATAAAGCTACTGGCAGTTGTGTCTTATTCATGGTTTTGCAGTTAGGGAGGTAACCGCATCGCCTGTCCTCCCAGTATCTTATCTCCACTGAAGAGAAACTGGCTGAGTTATTTTTGTGGTCTGTGTGTGTGGCTGTGCTGAGCTCACTGAGGAGACGGTGCTGTGGATATGCGTAAAGGAACCCATAGATTCTTTCTCTGAGATTTCTCTCTTAAGACTTGGTCTTTGGAAACAGTCGCAATTCATAGATCCCAATTCAGGTGCCATGAGGTTTACCTGGTGAGAGAGAAGTCAGCTTGAAGAACGGTTCAGAGAAGGGTATGGAATATGGAAAGAGGGATGAGTAACAGGACAAAGGGACACAGAGTAAGGGACGGTAGGGGCAGAATAATGAGGCAGCAATGCAGGTTAATGAAAGAGGGAGAGAGAGAGCGAGCAGATTTATGTAACGTCTTAAGGAGCAGATAGGCAGGGATCTCCAGCCCACATGCATCTGTTCTGGAATCTGAAAATGACTCAGAGGGTGTTGATATTTTGGCCGTCCCTCTCTCTGGCTCATGTTCCACAAAGCTCCCGCTCCTGTCTTATGCAGCATCCCAGGACCCTCAGGCCTCACAGATAGGAGGCACTCAAATATTAGTTGACTAAAATGAGGGCAAATAAGAAGATAGGGCAAGTCATGAATTACGTTCCCCCCATAAACCAGAATCTATTCAAACTCTAATTCCAAACCCCTTATATCCAAGCCCTTCAAAGATCAATCATGCAGGTTCATTTTCTCACCAGATCACTGGGGTATGTTGCTTCTTCATTTATGATGATCTCCTGGATTTTCCCATTCTTTTAAAGTCACTTTGTAAAATAGAAGGTGGGAAAGAGATGATGGGAAGGGGGAGAGGGTGGTGGGAAGGAAGGAGGTGTGTGTGTGTGTGTGTGTACACAAAACCTACACAGGCTGGATTTTAACCCATTTAGCCAGTAACTTGCTGTGTAAACATGGGCAAGTCGATTGATTTGCATGTCCTTATTTGTTCCATATGCCTCACAAGGTAGCACTAAATATTTAAAGAAATAACATATAAGAGCACTTTGAAAGGATAAATTTCTATATCAGTCTAATATAGAGGAATTAATTAGTACGGTAAATGAAAAGCAGTTAAGGGGGATATTATTGGTCTAGAGGATAAGGGAGTATTGGGAAAAGAGAGAAGCCCCTTCCTTCATTTGACAGATACCAGAAAAAGCCAAGACCACAAATTTGGCAGCCAGCACTTTTATCGTGAGACCTGTCTGGGTAAAGGGTTCTTTCCCCCCCCCACCGCCCCCCCTCTGTGCCAGGAATTGGTATTCATTTTTGTGGTTATTGTGTGCCTGCCATATGCCAGGCAATGTGTTGGTTAGGTTATTGTTATTCAATGAGTAGCCTAGAGGGCAATCTTTATATGTTCAAAGGACTTTCACAGGTCATCTCATATATTGTCCTGACTTTCCTGGTTGATGGAAATGACAGTTCATCCCTCACTATTTAATATGTGGAGGGACTGAGGCCTAAAGAAATTAAGCAGCTTGCCCAAAGGCCACAGAGCAGTGATGGAACCAGTACCCAAGCCTAGGTTTCCCGGCTCCCTCATCGCATTAACCATGTTCTGGGAAAACGATGAAGTTACTAAGAAGTTGGTCTGTGGGCTCTGAGGCAAATCTGATGAAGGAGGGATTCCCTGGCAGGGCATCCTGGGGACCGGATGGGACTTTTCCAGGTGGGTGCAGCAGGGAGAGAGCCCGGGTATAGTGAAAGCCATCGGACGCACGGATTACGCGTGAGAGACCATTATATTCCTCCCGGCACTGACAGTGTGTCTGCAAATCGTTCAGCCATTCTGACTCTCACTTCCCTGTGTGCCCTGGAGATCGGAACAGACTTAGGGTCATTCGCCTGAATACCAGGCTCACATCAGGCCTGAAGCTTTGTAAACTGGGAAAAGTGTAGATTGCTCTTAACTCTCCCACCGCGGGCCCCTGCACACGGATATGGAGCATAAAACTTTTCCCCGTCCTCTGACCTGCCGGGCCTCTCCACCCCCCGGGGAGTGTGATGTGCGGAGCCAGCGGCAGGTGACGCGCCCTCCCGGCTGGAGCGCCTGTTTTTGTTTGGGGTTGGGAGGGAGACGGTCTAGATCTGGATGATCCCCGTCTCCACACGCCTCTCGGTCTCCATTCCCCGCTCCGTCCTCCTCCCTGTCTCCCACGCCAGGTCCGCGGGTCTGTCTTTCCCGGCCCCGCCTCTCGCTCTCCATTCAGTCCGAGTCCGGTCCCCGGGTCCCCGGGTCCCCGGCGGGTTCGGGTCTGTCTTCCCCCCCCTCAGTGAGTCAGAAACAAAGGGAGGCGGGGGAGCGCACCAGCTCGGGCTCCGCGATTCGCCCTTTATTTTGAACTCGCAACGTCAGCGGCCGCTGGATCGCTGGATGGCACCGCGGGGGGGGGGCCGGGC